GCTTCATCATTTACTGTCTGGTCAGCCTTGAACCTACAAGGTACATAGGCACTTTAGGTCAGTTTTATCAAATCCAAGCTGGAAAGAACATTATATAACTCATACATAGGATTGTCATGAAGTCTAAATGAGATATTGACTATAGGGTTGTTGCTAACTGCTTTGGAGTTGGTTCTAACTCATAGCAACCTGTATAGGGTTTCTGAGGCTATAAATCTTTGCAGGAAAAGAAAGCATTTCTCCTGTGGAGCGGCTGGTGGGCTAAAACCACTGACCTTGTGGTTCATAGTCCAGTGATTATTCTACAGAGCCATTACATTCCCCATTTAGGCAGGTCCCCTGGTGTGACGCTATAGAATAAGCATTTGACTGCCAACTACAAGGTCCTGGTTCATACCCACTAGCTGTTCCTCAGAAACCCTCTACCAGTTCACTATGAGTTGGCATCGACTTGACAACATTTCACATCACAATGGTCATTAGTAAGTTATCTTACAGAATGCCAAATGACACAGATGTTCCCTTTATTCAGTGCCTCAATGATGTGGCAAGATAACCTGTCTACACTTTCTAATGCCACTGTTTTTATTTTTCATAAAAATTATACTTTCAAGAGATTGATATGGCAAATACACATCAATGTTTCCTTCTTGTTGTATTTGAGGAAATGGAATGCTGGGAGAATTTTTAAGGACCCTGCCTTATGAATTTCAATTAAGCTATGTGCCATGGAAAGTAGTAACCTCTTTCCAGATTCTTCCACCCCTTGGCCCTCATTAAACATCATGATACGGGAACACAATTACTTGTTTTCCAGTGGTCGCTATTAATTGGCATGGCCGACATGTTCACCCCTCTGTCAAGTAAGTGAATGGGAAAACTAAGAATTTAGTTTTCAAAAATCCATGCTAGTGGATATGGGAAATACTTTGTTGAGAACTCTTTAGAAAGCTTGTGTTACAATATTACATATCTATATCTGCAATATCTGTAGTAGTAAGCTGGATAACTACCAAAGACAGTTTCCTGCTTATCATAAAGACTCAGATTGTCAGTTGATACCTTTTTGTCTTTTTATGAAAAGCAATTAACAAAAGAAGTAATTATTTTTTTCTCTCAAGTCATGTGAGTTAGCTTAATTCATTGTTACAAAATGTTGACTTTTGCCAAGGCTGGTAGTAGGGGGAAGTATGGTTCTTTCTTAATTTAGTAACTACTTCAGCATGATTTAATACAAATTTGGATGAAAAGTAGATATTTGCACAGCCCATGTTGCATATAGAGATAATGAAATAGCTTCCTATTAAAATTTTGATTCAATTTCTCCCTGGAATACATGAACAGAAAATCACTTTCTTTTTTATAGCTGAGTTAAGAAGCAATTTACTGTTGTTGAGATTTTAGGAGTGTTCCAAACCAGCAGAACTTTGGTGCTTCCTTAGCTCCTCACTAAGTAGATGGCAGCTGTAATTTAAACCACTGGCCCTAGATGCTACAAATTATACTCAACACTTTATTTAAGTTAACGCTATTATTTGCACACTGATTTGGTGATAAGAATCCTGTCCTAAAACAGCAAAAATTTCAAAGTTTGAGTGAATTACCATAAATAAATTAATTTAAAACTATCAAAAAAATTGAAGTTCTAAATAGAAATATATTATAACACGATGTGCTTACTTGTGATTGGAAACTCACCTGTTTTGAAATGCTATCACAAGGATTCCTAACATAGCAGCTCCAAATGTCAAATATTTGAGCTAAAGGAAAGGACAGTTTTCTATTCTCTTGAAATACAATGAAATGCTCCCTGAGGTGCGATGAATGATTCGCACTACAGAAGAAGAATAAAGGTTCATCTACCAGCTTCACTGCACATCAATTCGGAAGCAGGCCATTAATACTTATTTTATGTGACAGAATGTGTTATATACATTATCAAAATTTAATTAATTAACATTGTCATTGCTAAGTGCCATCGAGTTGGTTCTGACTCACATTCACCCTGTATAGGGTTTCCGAGGAGCAGTTGGTGGGTTTGAACTGCTGACCTTATGGTTCACAAACCAGTGCTGATCCTGCCACACCACACTAGAAGTTCTAATTACCTAATAGACTCATAGATTGTTATAAGTGAGCCATTCACATAGACTACCAAGTTCAAATGTCTAGACAACTAAACGCTAACAAGATAAAGGGACTTATTCAAGATTAAAAATCTAGAGTGGGGCAGAGGAAGAAAAAAAAAAAAAATTAAATCAGCACTGCTACTATTATTACATCTGCTATATATAAATGTTTACTTTTAGATTACAAGTATATTACATGGATAGCATCATGTGTTCATTCACGTCATACATAAGACTGTAGCAGAATGACCCAAGACATGCAAGACCCCTGTTAATTTCCAACAAAGAACGGGAGTTTAAAATACTCAAAATTAAACAAATACAAATATACAAATATTTCAGACTTTAATAATACCAGTTTATTTTGAACTATATTTAGTCAATACATGTTAACATCAAGGTAACTACATTAGGCAACCATAGCATTTTATATGATTCATATAACATGCATATTAAAAAGAAAAACTACATTCGGAGTAATGTATACACTGTAAAAAGGTTATAGGTTAAGATGAAAAGGGTTGATAGATGAGAAAAAAAACCTCAACATTATCCTCAAAAGGCTTCAACCTTTTTTTTTTTTTTTTTTTAAACTAAAATGGAAACTTCTTTAATTGGACACTTAATGTTGACAATGAAAAAGTTGAAATCAATTATTAACCTGACTATGAAAAGTAAAATGTGGAAGTTGGGAGAACAGTCTCCTATATGAAAATAAATCTGAATGAAATGAATATTAGTGTTCTTTTAGTATGGTTTCAGAGAATCTTTGAAAACTGTTATTTTGATATTAATTGCTAGCTATCCTTTTCATTAAATTTTAGCTTTAACTTCATAGTATGGATGAATAGATTTAAACTATATACAGTGTGACATAGTATAATTTATTTATTTATTTTTATATCTCCAATTGAGTTAAGTACCAGTCAACTTAAATCAAGTTTTTAAGCTTTCCTGACTCACTTTGGAGATGTCTTACACAAATTTGAAAATAGAAATCACAAACTTTTGCACATTTAATATACTTCTCCTTAATGTGGTTATAAATATTTTGCCATTTAAAAAGACTTTCTAAAAACAAGAAATTGGATATGGATTCATATTAAAGTTTATGAGAGTACTTTCTATATAATTACTACAATGTTGGCCTGGAATATGCTGATATTTGAAAATATTAGGAAGAAGATGTTCATACAAATAAAAACCAGTACAGATCTGAATATAAATAATATTGGAAAACAGAAAACAAAAAACAAAAAAACACAATAAACTTTAAAATAAGTTAGCAGCCCCTGATAGAAGGAGTTTGTGTTTTCATGAGTGAGAGTTAATGTTGAGCTCCAGAAACAAATAAAATCAATATCAGAGTTAGTTTCATCACAAACCTGGGTAAAAGCTCTGAACATAAGAGCCTACAAAATGACCACACATCATGCATTAAGTAAGGAAAACACAAGTCCTTTAATAGAGTTAGGAATTCCAACCCTCTTCCATATAATAGCAGATCTCAGAGAAAAGAAAAACCAGTCTGAAAATGGAAGGTTCCCATCCCATTTGCTAAGTAACACAACACAACAATAAACACAGATGCCAATCAAGTAAAATGTTTCATGAAATGCACAAGATAAAGAGTAAATTTTAAAGAGCAGTCATCACTTGCAGAAGTTAGATTTCATCCTCCTTTTAGAATTGCCAACATTTTCATCACCAACTGAAAAGGGCTTTCCAATGCATTATTTTTTCATGACATTCATAAACCTTTCTTCTTTATCCCCTCCTCCCCACAAGGAGTTACAAAGGTAGGTTTCTGGTGACCTACATCAGAATGACATGCTTCATTTTAATTTGATGCTTGCATTTGCATTTGCAACTGTTCTTATGCCATACAGGGAAAACATTCTCCAGAGTCCCGGATGGTTTGTGTATAGATGCATTTATAACGTATTTGCATTCCTACTCATTTATAATGTGAACAATAAATAAATAAATAAATAGTGAAGCATAACAACCTAGAACATCATCTCTGGATGCTTTTGGAATTTGCTCTGACAACTTTAGGGAAACGGGACCTATCTGTACACAAACATTCTCTCAAGTAAGAGAATAAGTAAGAAAATACATCATCTAAATTGACTTATAGTCTTAAAGAAGAAATGTAATGCAAGAAAAGATACCAGCAAGTGTTCACCAATTTTTTTTTTTTTTTAAATAAATGAGGTTCTCATAAAGGAGAAGAGGAGAATGAGCTTCTGATAAATGTAAACAGCAACATTTGAAAAATAGTCGGCTATTTGGAATGTATGTCAAAGTCCTTTATAAGCATGTGAGTTGGAGACTTTCTTCCTTTCAACTTGTAAATACTTATAGGTAATCTTATAAATACTTCTGGAAATTAATTTATATATTAAAAAGCTCATTATTCTTAAACTCCAATGTTAAAATTAGAAAAAAAAAAGTATATCCTTTGCCATTTAATGAATGCATTTGCATAGCACAAAAACAAGTGTACCTCACAACATATTCACATAGGGGCTATTTAGATAAAACTAATCTAACATCAAGAGTGATGAAATCTATCCTAGTAAAACAGGCATATACAAAATAAAGTCTTATTGTCCACAGGTTTGGATGGAACATTTTGATTCAAAGTGTTTCTCCTAGCTTTAACATTCTCAGGCTGTGAATACATGACCACAACTTGCAGAAAGTTTATTTTATGTATCTTTCATACCCTGAGATGCCTGCTTCTCTTCAAGGCTGTCAGAATAACGTTTATCTGATCTCATTTCAAGTGCCTCCTACATTCACTTAAAACATTTTGTATTGCAAAACAAGATAATTTTTAGAAGTCACTGAAAAGCACTCCCTTACCTTCTAAACCTGCTTCAATCAGCCCAAACTGTTCCAATAATTTAACAAAAAGCACAATGACGATCAGAACTGCTATCATTTCAAGCCCTTCCAAGTTCATGGTCAGCTAGCTCATGGTCCAGCCACAGCCTCTGAGAAGTGTTCTTCTGCCTGTTTTCTTTGTAAAGCCATTAAACTACATTAAGAAGGCTACTGCCAGCGAAGGGGAGGAGGAGAGTGTGAGTGAAAAGAGAGAGACAGACACAGAGAGAGACTGAGAGAGAGAGAGCTGAGAAAGAGGGAGAGAGAGAGAGAGAGGAGATGGAGAGGCAGAGAGAAAGGGCATAAGAGAGCGAAATGCATTCATCCTGTCTACTGTAACACAGGCCAGAGAGGCAGCCGGATAAAGTCGGGCCCGTCAACATTATCAGCTTCTTCGTTATCTCTTTTACACAGAACGACAGTCACGCATGCAGGAGCGCGCACATCACCCGAAGACCTGGTAGGTCACCCAGGAACATCCCGAGGAATCATGACGTGCAGCAGTGATGGCTCCGTGGCCAGGGGACCCAGCTGCTGCCAGTGGCTTTGTTGGGCTGGTCAGTTGCCTTGGAAACGGCAACTAACCAAGGCTGGACTCCTGCTGCAGACCGGGACCAGAGTACTGTATCTTGAAAGGAGATGAAAAACCTGAACATGCGGAGAAGCTGAGTGACAGAGGGAACTGGACTGCTCTTGGAACACTATTTACTCACAGCGAAAGCAAAGTGTGTATTTTATCTAAAACGAATTGAGGGTGGAGAGACATGTGGGTTAGAGCATTCATCAATATTGACTTTCTTTTCTTCAATTATCTTCCTCTGTCTAGATCTCTGTGAATGAAGGATGTGGTTTGAGCATTATCTAGCATACCCTTTCAAAGCATAGGTATGGTTGTCATCGTTGTTAAGTGTTGTGGAGTCAGTTCTAACTCATACCAACCCTGTATAGGGTTTCTGAGGCTGTGGCACTGTGGGCTAATGCAACAGACTGCAAAGTCATTTGAATTGCAAGGTCGGTGCTTCAAGCTCACCAGCTGATCCTTGGAAACCCTGTACTGGGTCGCTATGGGTCTGAACCAATTTGACGGCACTTGACAACAACAAGAAATCTTTCTCTTGCTGATTGGCTGGTGGGCTTGAACTGCCAACCCTGTGGTTCACAGTTGAATACTTACCTAATGAGTCACTGTGCACTGTACTAATAATGTGTGATACTGGTGTTGTTGTTGTTAAGTGCCATCGAGTCAGTTCCGACCCAAAGTGACCCTGTATAGGGTTTCCAAGGAGCACCTGGTAAGCTTGAACTGGGGACCTTGAGGTTCAATTTGACTTTGCAATCCAGCGTTTTAACCCACAGCGCTACACCAGAACTCCTAGTAGGTATTAATAGGTATTGTTAATGTTTACATGCTATTTCAGCATTTAGGAAGCTACCTGATAATATATGAACTCAGTGCAATTTGATACACCAAAATAAATGTTGGATTTTGTTTTTGCAAGTGTACTTTCAATACTTTTTTTTAGTTTTTGCTGTTTTTAATTGATTTAAGTAAATGTTGTATTAGGAAAACATTCAGAAGACAAAAATCATCAATCAGAAACAAAACTTGCCTGGCAAGTTTCTCTATCTTGCAAGATCCACATCAGTGTTTTTGTTTCTCCCTGCTGTTGTTCTGACTCACAGTGATTTTGTAAAGGGTTTCTAAGGTTGACTAGTGGGTTTGAACAGCCAACCTTGTGGTTAGCAGTCTAGACTTATCCTATAGTCGTACCCTAACACTGATCAAATAAAACAGACCCAATTAAAATATTCTTCTTGTTGCTCTTAGTTGCTACAAAATCAGTAGTGACACATAGCGACACTATACACAACAGAACAAAATACTGCCCGGTCCTGGACCAACCTCACAATCATTGCTATGCTTGAGCCCATTGCTGCTGTCACTGTGCTAATCCATCTTGTTGGGGGTCTGCCTCTTTTTTTCCAACCCTCTACTTTACCAAGCATGATGTCCTTCTCCAGGACTGGTCCCTTCTGATAATATGCCTGAAGTATGAGAGACAAAGTCTGGCCATCCTGACTTCTAGAGCATTCTGGCTGTACTTCTTCAAACACAGATCGATTTGTACTTTTGGAAGCTCATGGTCATTTTAATATTATCCTCCAACACCATAACTCAAATGCATCAATTCTTCTATGGTCTTCCTTATTTACTATCTAGCTTTTACATGTATATGAAGTTATTGAAAACCATGGCTTGGGTCAGGCACACCCTATAATCATAGAAAAGTATCAGAGAAAATCAATTCCAATCTCTTATTTCATAGATGAAGAAACTGAGGCAGAGGCAGAACAGGGTAGAAAACAGGTGTTCCTTGCCCTGGTTTGCCGTTGAGGCAGCACTGTAGTCAGACTGCCTGCATTCTTCTGCAGGCTCTCTAACTTACTAGCTTTGTGACCTTGGAGAGTTTACATTGTTTACATCTCAGTGCTTAACTTTTTCTTTGCTTTTAAAATGGGGCTGGAATCTCCTCAATGGCAACTAACAGAAATAATAGTTCATCATACTGTTGATGAAATTCTTTGTTAACACTTTTAGAATAAGGTATATTCTCAATCGCCACTACCTCTTACTTTCATCATGAATATCTCTGTGCTTTATTCAATACATTGTAGGGGGTTGTGAGTAATCACTCTGAAATGAAAACGTGGTCTCAGCATTGCCCTAATCAAAGACCACCCATCGCTCCCTATTTACCTGTGGAAATCAGTTCAAGTTCCTTTATACAGTGACCTGGACAGGTGCCAAGTTGTGGGTCTAAACCGATTGGTCTGTCTTCAGTCCACACAGTCTCCCTAACAACTACTTCCTCCAAACTTGGTCTGAGCATCCCCAACTCCAGATCTTTGGTCAATCCATTCCTTTCCACCTGTTCCAGCCTGTCAACTTTCCAAACCCTTCAAAGAAACTTCAACAGCTGGAGTGGGATGTCCTCTTTTCCCATGTTATGATTTGTATGTAGTATTTGTTGTTGTTGTTAAGTGCCGTCGAGTCAGTTCCGACCCATAGTGACCCTGTACAGGGTTTCCAAGGCTGTAAATCTTTATGGGAGCAGAAAGCCTCATCTTACTCCTGCGGAGCAGCTGGTAGTTTCGAACTGCTGACCTTGAGATTTGCAGCCCGATTTGTAACCACTACACAACCAGAGCTCCTTATGTATTTAGTCCTGTTATAATATATCCACTTGTGTATACTTTGTTGTCAGGAGAAAGAGGAGGATTTCTGCTCTTATAAAGATTTACAGCCTCTGAAACTCTATACATGGTGACTGTAAGTCAGAACTGACTCAACAGCACACAACAACAACATCAACATACCTTGTTGTGCTCAAGGATGAGCTGCTACAGGGCAAAACTAACACCCTTCATATCTTAGTTTCTATTGTTAGTTGCCATCAAGTTGTACCTCAACTCGTGAGGACCAGGGAGCAAAATGCTGCCTGGTCCTGAAATACCCTCAGCCAATTGCAGACCACATTGTTTTAATCCATAGAGAATTATTTCACTGGCTGATTTTTTGAAGTAGCTTCCAAGTCTTTCTTACTAGTCCATATTAATTTGGAAGCTCTGCTGAAATCTGTTCATAGTCGTAACAACAACTCAAGCCTCCATTCAAGATGGTGGGTGTTCATGTAGTGCATTGTCCAGGAATTGAACTCGGGCCTTCCACATGGAAGTGAAATATTCTGCCTCTGAATCACATTTGTCCCTATCCTTTATCTGTATACTCCCTATAATGCTGTTATGGAGGGCACTTTGTACTTTTTAAGGAGCTCTGGTAGCGTAGTGGTTACAAGTCAGGCTGCTAACCTCAAGATAAGCAGTTCGAAACTACCAGCTGTTCCGTGGGAGAAAGATGAGGCTTTCTGCTCCTGTAAAGATTTACAGCCTTGGAAACCCTGTACAACAGGGTCGCCATGAGTCTGAACCGACTCCACAGCATACTACCACCATGTTGTACTTTTTAGATGTATTGTATATTTTATTAGATAATAATTATTGTTATGGTATTGTTTTGGCATTGATTCTAACTCATAGTAATCCTATATATACAGTAGGAAACCCATAGGTTTTTCCTGGAGTCCTGGTGAGGCGCTGTGTGTTTATGTGGACTACAAGATCGGTTTAAACTGCAAGTTTGGTGGTTCAAGCTCACCATTCACTCCTTGGAAACCCTATACAGGGTCACTATGAGTCTGAACCAATTTGATGGCACTTCATGACAACAACAATCTCTATGGGAGCAGATCACCAGGTTTTTTCTATCAGGAAGCCACTGGTGAGTTAGTACCTCCAAGTGTTTACTGTTCAGCAACTAAGCACTTAATCATTATATCACCAGAGTTCCTTTTAGATAATAATACCCTTTGCTCTCTGACTCATAGCAACACTGTAGAATGTGTTGTTGTTGTTATTAAGTGCCATCGAGTGGGTCCCAACCCATAGCGACCCTGCATAGGGTTTCCAAGGAGCGACTGGTGAGCTTGAACTGCCAACCTTGCAGTTCAAACCAACTCTGCAGTCCAGCGCATTAACCCGCAGCACCACACAAGGACTCCCAGAATTGCCATATAAGGTTCCCAAGGATGTAATATTTAAGGAGTCCAAGTGTGGCACTGTAGATTAATGCAGTGGACTGTAAATTAGTTTGAACCGCAAGGTTAGTAGTTCAAGCTCACCAGCTGCTCCTTGGAAACCCAATACAGGGTCACTATGGGTCAGAACTGACTCGACAACACTTAATGATACTTAATGTATTGTTTTTCATTTCAAAACACTATGAAATAGTTTCCAGTTTCCAAGATATTAACCCAGGAAACACTAAGAGTCAGAGAGTGTAAGTCCAAGGTCAGGCTGCTCAGCCATAATGGGGCCCAGATCCAAACTCTGATTTGTTTACCTCAAAGCCTATTTCCTTTAATTAAGACACATGGCTTTAAATGAGATAAAAATAAAAAAAAATGGCACAAATACTTGTCAATATTAGCACAAGAATAAGGTTTTTGCTTTTTTTTTTTTTTTTTTAATCTCAAATGATCCTTTTAAACTGCTTTGTGACATTCTAACTAAACCACTAATCCCAGTAACTTTGGAACACAAA